ATTAGAGCAGCCAGTCCACAGAGAGGACCACATGGCCGGCCCCACTATGAGACATGATGCCCCTCACTGACCCATAGCCCTACAGGAGACAATACTGGAGACAGTGTGGGAACTGCGCCCGATCTGATCCCACCACACCGAGGCAAAACACTAAGAGGGAGCAACAGAACAGCAAGGGAACTGGAACTGGAAATGCAGGGAATCCAGGGTAGATGATCCCTTCAGGACCAGTGGTGTGAGTGGCGATACTGGGAGGTCAGAGGAGGGTGGGTTGGAAAGGGGGAACCGATTACAAGGATCTACATGTGACCTCCTCCCTGGGGGATGGACAACAGAAATTTGGGTGAAGGGAAACGTCGGACAGGGCAAGATATGACAAAATAATAATTTACAAATTATCAAGCGTTCCTGAGGGAGGGGAGAGCGGGGAAGGAGGAGGAAAAAATGAGAGCTGATGTCAGGGGCTTAGGTGGAGAGCAAATGTTTTGAGAAAGATGAGGGCAATGAATGTACAAATGTGCTTGAGACAATGGATGGATGTATGGATTGTGATAGAGTGTATGAGCCCCTAATAAAACAATAAAAAAAGAAAAAACATGATTTCTACAGTTATTTTCCAGAAAACCTGGGCTTTGATCTCATATTATCTAATGATGAATGTACCCTTCCTACTGCACATAGGACTTTTTAATTTCTTGACGCATAATAATAGGCAAACAAGCTAGATAAATACACCTTCTTAAAACTCAGGTGAAGTACTATTTGAAGTGGCAAAAATACTTTTATAACATCAAAGTAAGAGTTAATAAGTTTTAAAGTACAATAAGGTATCTACCCTATCTAGTCAATACTGCCTACCCACATTCTTTGAAAAATAAACATACCAGAGAGAGATTTAACACATACCATATGCCATCTCCAATATCAGCCAAAATCCAAAGCGAAACAATTATTCTAAGTAGTAATGCTTCAGTTTCAAACTTACTCTGACGTTTAAACTCCTTCTGTAGTTTACTGATCTGGTTGCTTTTTATCCTGTTTCCAGACAGAGTTTTCACTTTCTTTGGTTTCAATGTGGTCTTTAGACTGGGCCCTGCCCTTGCATCTACCACCTGGAAGAAAATACTGAATATTTAATACCATTTTTAAAATGACATCTGTGCATCCTTTTGGTTTAAGCCCATGCCTATTTGATTGGAGTCAAGTTCAAAATGGTGTTTTTCACAGCTTATAAAAATTTCCCACACGCCTTTGATTTCTACCCTCACCACAAAAATCAGTAAAATTTTTGTTACTCGTTTTAAGGTGCAGGAGAAAAAGTGAAGAGGAATTATGTATTTTGCCTTATTTCACTAACCTAGTAATCGGGCAAGGATAGCTCTGTGGAAGGGGGAACAAGAGCCACATGGGGGTCTTCAAAGCCTTGCTTTAGGTTCTCTGACTGAACACCATTAATCCCTGAGATCAGTGACATGAATGAGATTAGTGTGTGTCCTACAGGTTAGCCATTGGTCTAGGTCTCTATGAGCCCTTTCCCCTTCACATTGACCACTTGCAGAATCTGCTTATGTGTGAAAATGGTTGCCACCATTTCCAAACTTATAATTTGCATTTTCTCCAGATACGGTGTTTATTATTATTTTAAACCTTGTTTTATTAAATTAACAGACCCAAAGAAACCCACAGTAGTCCTGTAACACTGTTCCCATGTTACATGGGACAGTGAGAAGGCTGTTGGAGAAAAAGGGAAGAGTAAAACACTTGCTTACTTAAAAAACATTTTGGATTTTATAACTCCTCTGTAACTAGCACATATAAGATTAATAAGTCAGGAAAAAAAGAATTAATAAGTCATAAAAGTACTGTTTCATGTTACATGGAAAATTCTAATAACACGGGAAAAACAAAAAAGACAAAACAGAACATATGTTGCATATCAGTAAAACCTCTATTAAACATATAAATATCAAAAGTAACGGTAGCTTCCATCTAATTGCATAATTGCTGTGGACTGTGCTTTACATGAAGGGGCTTCAAAATATGTGTATAAAAAGATAATTAAAAGATAAATCCATTATTCCACGAACTACTTGAAACCCCATTGTCTAACGCCTTATTCAGTCTTCAAAATAGTCCTAGAAACAGTTATTATGTTTGCATTTTATAAATGTGATCTTCCCAGTCTGGTTAATATGGGGTTATGAAAAGGGCAGGATTCAAATCCAGGTCTGGCTCCAAAGCCTGTATATCCTCAACAGCCTTAGGGAAGGCCATACCAAACTACTTTGCAGCTTACCATGCCAAACTGTTGAGTGATTATAGCTGGCAACAGCTAGTATTTTTCTTTATTCTTTACAGGCTTTTCTGCCCTAAGGATATGTTATACTTCCTACATTGAGGGTGTGGAATAATGTTGCTTTAAATATAAAAGTATCACTGACTGAAAAGCAGCTAACAACAAAATAGAAAAAGACAAACTAACGTGATTCCAATTTTTCTTTGATCCTGCTGGCAGCTTCTTCCATCTTTTCACAAGCAGGACACAGGCATTGCAGATGTCTCCTGAACGTGTCTCATGCAACCTGATAAGAAAATAACCACGCCTTTATTACCCTCCTTTACCTTAAAGAATTCCTGCAAGTACATTTCTTTTCACAGAAATGATACACACCTATAATTTATAGATGTAATTTCTAATAATCTAATTTCATTGTTTCTATAACGTTTACAAAATATAATTCATATCTTGATCCAACAAGGTAGTTCTGCAATTTGGTGTACTGCAATAGGTCATTTTTAATCAAGGAAATGTTTTTAAAATGAACAGCAGGCACCATGACTTTTAAACTGCTACCTCATCTTGAAATGTGTAGATATTTCATAAACTAGATGTGCCATCTTTATATAAAATGTCATTTTTTTACAATGTCATGATGGTTCATTTTCAAAACAATTTTTCTAAAGTGACTACTTATTTGAGGGTTTTTTTTTAGGAACTTTAAATTAAATATATTAAAAGAAAAATGTGATTTTTCAAAGGCAAGCTCCAAATCAGAATTAAAAAATGCTTTAACAAGAAAAACAATGTGATGAAACAAATTTCTAACATGGAAATGAATCATTAAACATTTTATCCAAGTATCTGTTGCAAAGTAAATTCTATTTTACAAAGCAGAGGCCTGTTGCCAAAAAACCAAATGAATAAAATTGCAAAAGGAAAGCTAACATCCTTACAGATTGCAGTAAGTGTTAAAGCCTTGATAATACCATCTTTATAAACAAGTTATGCTAAAACTCTCCATTGTTTAGAAAAACAACACAAAAAGATTGGAGGAATGTAAGAGAAAAATGAGGGCAATAAAAACAAAATAAAACCCTCTCTCTTTATACATCCTGAAGTTAACAAAAGGGTTTATTTAGCTTCATCTATAAGGAGGCTTCACAGTTAACTTGGTAGTTCCCCACAAGCAGGGGGGGGACACCAAGAAGGAAACAGGTTGTCAATATTGTTTGATTCACTTTGAGAACATGCTGTTCAAGCAGCCTAGATTAGAGCATGTAAGTGACTTTAATCAAGGTATTACCACACTGCTCCAATCACCTTGCTTGAAAATATTTCAATGTGCTGCAATTTTTTTTTAAAACTCCAAGCATGATGCACACAAGTTACTCACACCAGATATTCTTACCCAAAACAGCTCTGGAAGTCCTTTTCATAGCGTTTACTGTCAGTGAACCGAGAACTGGAGGACTTAGCTCTGCAAATACAGCAGCCCTCTATACTTCGGTACATCTTTGGCTTGTGAAAACCAAACATCTTTTCTTCTGGGCAATTGTCTGTAAAGTCAAGGGAATTGACACAGCTTTGGTGAAGGCTATATCTAACAAGAAATCATTAGAGCTACTCCACCCAACCCCCAAACAACTTAGTATTTACAAGACCAAGCTAGGTGGCAGACTGTGAAGACCTACCACCTCCCTTCTCCATTCTTCACAGTGGTGGCAGAGCAGCTCAGTCATTTAACAAAGCCCAAACTCACTGTCATTAAGTTGATTCTGATTCAAAGCAACCCTAGAGGAAGAGTAGTACTACCCCTTTGAAAGGTTTCTGAGATTAAAAATGTTTAAAGTGACAGCCTCATCTTTCTTCCTCACAACAATTAATAGGTTAGAACAGCTGAACCTATAGTTAGCAGGGCAGCACATAACCTAGGTTAACATTTATTCTGAAAATGGAGGAAGGGAACTTTTTTAGAACAGTTTTATTAGTACTTTATACATATGTCCTACAATTCAATAATTCAATCTTATGGAGAAGAGTTGTACAGAGAATTTTTTAAAAGTTTTTAAGCTGAAAATCTCAAAACCTACCTTAATCCTGAAAAAACATATTAATTCATACACAAAGATAAACACTAAAATTTAAATAAAGGCACGTTTTCATTTTGCACCTTTGCATTATCGTGATTCTCCTCTAAGCAAGTGGAAACATTCAGTGTGACCCCTATTCTAGATGCCACGAATACAAAGTTAAATTAATATCAAATATACACGACTCTCTGCCCTACAGATGAAAGAGGGTATTTCTTTCAGTGATAAACAGTAAATTCTAAGTTTAGAGTCCTAAACTACTCCTAAAGTAGAGGGCAAACTTCACAAAAATGTACTGTAACGGAGGGTGGAGGGAAGGTGAGGGAGAAAGGGGAACAGATTACAAGGGTCTACATATAACCTCCTTCCTGGGGGACGGACAGTGGAGAAGTAGGTGAAGGGAGACTTCTGACGGTGGAAGATATGACAAAATAATAATTTATTAATTATCAAGGGTTCATGGGGGGGGGGATGAGGAGCTGATACCAAGGGCTCAAGTAAAAAGCAAATGTTTTGAGAATGATGAGGGAAACAAATGTACAAAAGTGCTTGACACAATATATGTATGTATGGATTGTGATAAGAGATGCCCGAGCTCCCAATAAAAAGATTTTTTTAAGTATAAGAATTCATGAATACTAATTTTTAAGATCAAGACAAATTAAGAATGAGTTCAAATTAACTACTGTTCTGCCACTCTAGAGTTTATAGCTTTCTTTGGTTTTCTGTAAGTCCCTGAGTGCATCAAGAATAGTGGAGAGTAGATGCCCAAGAAACAAGAGTTATATAGTGATTCAAGGGAAAAAAAGAATGTTATTGTCACTACCAAAGGAAGAATCAACTCTACGGCTTTATACAGTAAAAATGTACTTCAGGAAAAGTAATTTGGAAGTCCAATTCAAGAGCAAATTGCACCTGGGCTATGAGAAGCCATAAGAAGGCAATGAATACAGAAATGGACCCCCAAAAGGGTAGGTGGCTGTACTAATACACATTACCCTTCTTCCCATAAATTTAAGAGTTATAACCACAGAGCAGCATTCTTTTACATTTGTTTCACAAATAAATATCTATGTATGAGTAAAAGGAAAACTTTGGGTATTTCCTACCTGATATCTCATTCTTTCCCAACTCTGATTAGTATTCCAGAGCAAGTTGATTCATGCAAATGATTCAAAAACTAACTATCCAGGTGTGTTTTTTTGAGTTTGGGTTTGTTTTTTGAGATGAGTTCTAAAATTTGAACAAAGGTTTTATCACTGTACAATGTTTTTATTAGCAATTATGAGCTAGGCAAACACTGAGGCTTTCCTTTTCAACAGTGCTACTATGTCCTCATCTTCCAAGGTTTTGTTAGGGAGCGAGGGAGAAGAGCAGGTGGAGGGGAAGGAAGCAGGGCAGATGGCCATTACAATTACATTTAATACAGAAGTACCTCAGTTTCAGAATTGTTAAAATAAGAAAAAAAGACATTCTTAGCATTAGCGCAATGAAATGACTGAGAATTAAGGAAAAAATGAGTAAGGAACCAATATACAATATTGATTTTTAAAATGTAGAGTTTAGTTTCAAACTAACAAAAACCCTCACACTAGAGAAACTGTCCTCCTAAAGTCAGGTGTCACTTAGGAAATTACACAGCATTATAGAAAACAGAGTAGAAGGTAATGCTTTAATTTGTATATTACCATTTTAAGGCAAAACTAATATAACTTCGGTCCTCATACTCATTTTTTTGAGCTCCCCAGACTTCCCCTAACATTTCCTATTATCAAGAAAGTCAAAAGTCCAGCTCTCCTTATACTTTCCAGCTTCAACAATAGTTTCAAGATCTTAGCTTCCCTACCCAGCAAGGGCAAAAGGAAGCACAGCAAGTAAGCCTCGTTCATTGCACTGACACAGATCAAATTGTTAGGCCAGATAGTCCTATTTTACCCCTACAACCTAACTATCTTTCCCCAAATAAACGCACGACTTTCAGACCATGTCTAAGATACAAAAATAACTTCACTGCACCTGAATTTCACTAGAATGCCAAGGTTTATGCCAGTAATCACCTTTTCAAACTGTTAAAGGGAGTTCCCGCCAAAGCTAAACACTGAGGCTGTCCTTTTAATCATCTGTAAGACAAACACTAGTCATTGTGATTTTTCCGCTTCATAGGGACCTCCACAAAACATACCAGCCCCTGCAAGGCATTCATTCTTGTTTCAAAACCGTCTCAGATGCAACAAAGCCCACATGGAAGAAGCACACCAGCCCTTGTGATCACGAGGTGCCAAAGGGATCAGTATCAGGCATCAAAGAACAAAAAAATCCTATCATTGTGTGCTCACCTCCCTGATTCGATCGCTAAAGACAATGGGTGCATAAGCAAATGTGGTGAAGAAAGCTGATGGTGCCCGGCTATCAAAAGATATAGCATCTGGGGTCTTAAAGGCTTGAAG